TGATAAGTAACGCATTCTTTCATATTTGACGAAATTGCCATCCATAAGAAAAGCTATGCACGATATTAAGAGAAGTAATTCCGTTTTACCCTTTTCGTCAATAGGTAATCCCTGAATACGCTTCAAGGCGGGTTCGATCCAAGGAAAAATTATTTCCTCGTCGTTGAAAATGTATACCATCTTAGATTCATAAATAAGATCTCTACGCACCATATCAGTTGCAATTTCCTCGGTTAATTTACGTCCATCGAAAGTATCATATGGCTGTTGCGTCACAGACCAAACTGTTTTTCCGGTCCAATGACTGTTTTGGTTTTTGGCAGCGTCAGTCATTCGCAGCGCAGGAAAATATTGAAAATTTAACTCTTTTAGACCCTGAATTATCACACTCACCGCATCTAACTCCTTTATGCGCAACAGTTCCAATACTCTACCAAAAACCAATGGGTATCGAAAAACTCCTTTTACGATATTTTCCGCTATAGCTCGACAGGTAAGAACGCCTACACACTGCGACCAATTTGGTTTAGTACCACTTTTGAGGCATGTTATTATAACGTGTTCTTCTAATTGCATCTTCATGAACCTACGGTCATGTATAAGATCGTTCAGTAAGATGATAACAGCTTGCTTTCCTACCACTGGTAAACAGCTCTTCAAATAATTGGTGAACTTGAAAGCTCTAGAGATTCTTTCTCGTTGTTCATCATTTTGTGTCCATATTCCCAAAGGCGGGGTTTCGTGTTCATTAATCGTTGTTGCGTTGGCTTCTTCTAGTGTTAAACAACCTAAATTATGACTAAGTAACAGATTTGAAATGGGTCTAGATAGAAAACACAACGTTTTACCATAAAACAACAATTCCAGAGCACACTCTATTTGAAACGATTTCCAACTAGGAAAATAGCCCCCCAAACCACTATTCCTTTCATAGAGGGTTTTCAGTTCGCCGCAGAGACTCAAACACACTTCCTTTAAAGCCTGTGAAAAGTAAAGTTGAAAATCGCCGTCTCCCTTTTCTGAAATAGGTATAAGGAGTGGTTCCTTATTCATCAAGGACGTAAGCTTGTCCAAGTTGATGAAATCGGTAGCGTTTAGGGTATCGCCTATATCAGTAGTCAGACACACAATTTCAACCCTCGGGCAAACTGGAAATGTAATTTTTGTCGAATTTTCATCCATAATAGATATATATTCAGTGGCACTCTTATGTAAATGTTGAACTGATTTAGGGTGAAGTAGCCCAGCTGTCACTATAGATCCGCTGATTGGATTATATCTACCGGAAGGATACATGTGTGGCGTGTCAACATAAAATTGGATGAACTGAAGTGTTTGAGGGTGATAAGCAAGTTCATATAAGGCAGGGGTGATAGCCATCCTCCTCCCATCTAGGTTTGATTGGAAATTGCAGGATTCGGATAGTGTCAACGACTTCCAAATTTGACCCCTGTTACCAATAAGAGGGCACAAGCCATTTCTCGACCAAACTGCATTCATACCCACAGGTGACAAATCTACCAACACAGCAGCATGAATACTCATTCTTTTAACGGTTGAGGTATCGACATAATCACTTAGCTGGATTTCATTTATGTCCCGTTCTCCGAACCGACAAGAGAATTTGAAGTGTTCAAAACCTGGCGGAACGTCCACAGACTCAATAGCACTATCCAAAAGGTCTAAATACCAAGACCTATCCGCAGGAGAAATTGTCCACTTCGACACATCATTAATTCGGTTTTTCTTAACGGATTCCCTTTTTAAATTTGTATTATTTGATTTCAGCTTCTCCACCATTGTCCTTTTCAGATCTGCAAACCAATCATTAACAAGTGATCGATAACAAGTTCTTCGTATATTGGACACACAGTTGAGAATAGGCAGTATCGTTAGAAAGCATTGCCACCCGCCATCACTGAAGATCTGCGCTCCAACACCCTCACGTAGTAGTCCATAAGCAGTTGGATTATACTTGACTAACGGTAAGTGTTTTTTAATTAGACTGTATATTGGAATTAAGCTAGTACATCCATTAGGCAGTATATTTATATATCTGACGGGTAGAGTTATTCCGCTGAAACTTGAATGTTCCAACACGATGCCATCAATGTCGCTCCTTAAACAAACACACGATTGGTGGATCAAATTAGACGTTTGGCAAGATCTAAAGGATATATATTCTTCCCTCTTCAAGAATTGTGAAACTGTCACACTGTTGAAAGCACCTAAAAAACAGTTAGCATTTTCCAGGCTCGTCTCCACAAATACGTCTTCCTCTGTCATTGTTCAGACTCAAAATAAAATTGAATACTTACCTACGGTCCTTATATAATGCCAAACTCGGGTTTAACCCTAACTCTAACACTGGGTTCAACCAAGGTAACCTAACCCTAACCCTAAAATTGAATACTTACCTACGGTCCCTATATAATGCCAAACTCGGGTTTAACCCTAGGTTTAACACTGGGTTCAACCTAGGTTCAACCTCTAACCCTAACCCAAAATTGAATACTTACCTACGGTCCCTATATAATGCCAAACTCGGGTTTAACCCTAGGTTTAACACTGGGTTCAACCTAGGTTCAACCTCTAACCCAAGGTACAACCCGAGGTTAAACCCCGGTACAACCCAGAGTGTTTCCTTGGTATTCATGCAGTTGTTTACTACACAGTAGAGATGGCAAGTCGACTCAGCGTCAGCTCTTCCGATGAAGAAGAAACTACAGAGGAGTATACCGCCTTAGAAGAGTTTACATGCCAGAATTTGGCAAGGTTTAGCGCCACAATTCGAAAAAATAAAAAGGAAATAGACGAAAGGCTCGAGACAATTGAAAAACAGCAAAATGAAATAATGACAAATGGAAAAAATAAAAAGGAAATAGACGAAAGGTTCAGCACAATTGAAAAACAACAAAATGAAATAATTAAAAAGCAAAATGAACTAGAAACCAAGCTCGATGAGATATGTAAAAAGCTATCGACTGCTGTAGTGTCTGAAGATAGGCCGCCGAGTGGAGAGAAACCCGAAGAAAGATGGATACAGAAAAGACATGCACCAGTAGAAAGAGAAGAGAGGGAGAATAAAAGTGTGGCACTACCAATTTCTAAGAAATTAAAACGCACACAAGCCAAGTTCACACCGCCAACGCAATTAGAGCAGCTCCCGGACGAATGGAGGGAAAAATTACGTCCCACAATGGAAAAAGTGACCCCATCAAAGCCCGATAAAATGACCACGCCGCAGATAGCTTTTTTTAACCACTGGGTCGCGCATAAAAGTAATCTGACAGGTAACTTACGACTGGATTATTCAATGTAAAACTACGGAACAGTTTCCAAGAAATATACTTCGAAATAAAAACCAAAACTTTTATTATTATGATTTATTATCATACAAGACTTACATAGCGCTATCTGTCACATACGTGTTCGGGTGCGCTTTACAATACATGTATAGAGACTATAAAAACAGTAAAAATAAAAACTATATATCTATATAATCTATGAAATTTATACAAAAAGAAATAAAAAAAACATATCTATAAAATCAGTAAAAAATCTATAAAAAACAAAAACACTATAAAAACTTGTAACTTATTAATCGTTCTATTTTTTTATATTTCAGCAAGCGCAACAACTATCATGGAGTTGGTAGCCGAGGGGTGCCGGGCCGGAGTGTGGACCAAAGAATGGACGCCATCGGAAGGAAAGACGCTCTCCGAATATCTACTAAACAGGGTAAAAGGCGAATGCACGAAAAGAAGAAAATCCAGACAGACCGAGCGGTATGAACGTAAATTTCTTTCATATGAGAATTCCTCATTTGTTGATTTGCTCGACTACATGGAGTAAATAAAAAATTTAAAATAATTTGTAAGATTTTATTAGACAATAGTTTATGTTGTAAATTCTAATTGAAATGTAAACCCTACGATTGTTATAATACAGTTTGTATTTCATTTTTAAAGATGGTGTAAATTATAATTGAAATGTAAAATATGATTTTTATAATAATTTTTCAGTGATTTTATTAGTAAATAAAAATTTTTAAAATATAAGATTTTATAGTTAGTATTTCAATTTTAAAGATGTTGTTATATAAAAGTAAAATGTAACTTCGCACCGCACTCGCTGTTAGTAATTCATTACGAATACCAACAGTGGGTGCGGTGCGAAGTAGTATCCAAGTCCTAACCCTAACCCTAACCCAACCCTAACCCAACCCTAACCCTAACCCTAACCCTAACCCTAACCCTAACCCTAACCCTAACCTAACCCAACCCTAACCCTAACCCTAACCCTAACCCTAACCCTAACCCTAACCCTAACCCAACCCTAACCCTAACCCTAACCCTAACCCTAACCCTAACCCTTCGGCAACTCCTCCCCCCAACCCAATCATAAAAACCTATTAACCCCTGTGAAAAAACAAAAAACCTCGCCCCACCTCACCTCGCCTCACTTCACCTACCCTCACCTCATATTCAAAATGCTATATTTCCGAAAGTATTGAAGGGATCCACTTGCAAATTGACAGATATCGTCTTCGGCAACTCCTCCCCCCAATCCAATCATAAAAACCTATTAACCCCTGTGAAAAAACAAAAAACCTCGCCCCACCTCACCTAACCTAACCTCCCCTCACCTAACCTCAGATTCAAAATGCTATATTTCCGAAAGTATTGGAGGGATCCACTTGCAAATTGACAGATATCGTCTTCGGCATCTCCTCCCCCCAACCCAATCATAAAAACCTATTAACCCCTGTTAAAAACCAAAAAACCTCGCCCCACATCACCTAACCAAAGCTCCCCTCACCCAACCTCAGATTCAAAATGCTATATTTCCGAAAGTATTGAAGGGATCCACTTGCAAATTGACAGATATCGTCTTCGGCATCTCCTCCTCCCAACCCAATCATAAAAACCTATTAACCCCTGTTACAAACCAAAAAACCTCGCCCCACCTCACCTAACCTAACCTCCCCTCACCCAACCTCAGATTCAAAATGCTATATTTCCGAAAGTATTGAAGGGATCCACTTGCAAATTGACAGATATCGTCTTCGGCATCTCCTCCCCCCAACCCAATCATAAAAACCTATTAACCCCTGTGAAAAAACAAAAAACCTCGCCCCACCTCACCTAACCTAACCTCCCCTCACCCAACCTCAGATTCAAAATGCTATATTTTCGAAAGTATTGAAGGGATCCACTTGCAAATTGACAGATATCGTCTTCGGCAACTCCTCCCCCCAATCCAATCATAAAAACATATTAACCCCGGTGAAAAAACAAAAAAACTTGCCTCACCTCACCTCGCCTCACTTCACCTCCCCTCACCTCAGATTCAAAATGCTATATTTCCGAAAGTATTGAAGGGATCATCTTGCAAATTGACAGATATCGTCTTCGGCAACTGCTCCCCCCAACCCAATCATAAACACCTATTAACCCCTGCCAAAAAGACAAAAAAAATAAATAAATAAATAACCGTGCATATTTATTTGAAAACTTTTTATTATATTCATATACTATAGAATGAAAGATATATTCGTTAAATTCTAGAAAATGATTGGTGATTGATGTTGATTATCTTTCTTTTAAACGCTGTGTATGATCGGTCTGGAATGTTTTTCTCGCGACACATTTCACTGTATTTTACATAGATTTTCTTCCACTGATTACCTAATGTATTATTGTCAAGAAGATAATGCAGAATTTCTATTTCTTGTGGGGTCCATTTTCCGACGAAATTTGCTGATCTGTGTACTTCTGGTTCGTGTTGGATTGTTGATTCATTTTCCTCTACGACGTCTTCAGGTGCTTCGTCGATCATGGGATCAGGAAGGTCATGGTGGATTTTCAGTTTTTTCGTGTTTGGTTTGATTTTGGAATAGTTCTTAATTTTGTAATCAATATCCTCGTGTAGTCTATAAATGCGACATCCTTTCATTCCAAGAAGAGAATGAGATAAAATATTAAGGTCCTGTAATTTGGAAATAGAAAATGGCACTGATAAGTAACGCATTCTTTCATATTTGACGAAATTGCCATCCATAAGAAAAGCTATGCACGATATTAAGAGAAGTAATTCCGTTTTACCCTTTTCGTCAATAGGTAATCCCTGAATACGCTTCAAGGCGGGTTCGATCCAAGGAAAAATTATTTCCTCGTCGTTGAAAATGTATACCATCTTAGATTCATAAATAAGATCTCTACGCACCATATCAGTTGCAATTTCCTCGGTTAATTTACGTCCATCGAAAGTATCATATGGCTGTTGCGTCACAGACCAAACTGTTTTTCCGGTCCAATGACTGTTTTGGTTTTTGGCAGCGTCAGTCATTCGCAGCGCAGGAAAATATTGAAAATTTA